AGGAGTTAAATTTTTTTATTCCCTAAATAGTACTTAATAATGTCTAGTGGAGAGAATAATGTTCAATGATGGTGGACATAATAATGACTAATGGATAATGACCAATGATCCTATCTTGGGAAATAAAAACATACGGTCATATATTGAGAAAGTCATTATGTTTTAGGTAAAATCCCCTAGAATAAATCATCAATAAGTCACAATATAATCTTAATCCAATTACTTTAGGTCAACTATTTTTAACTTTTGACTTATACGGAGTAATTAAATAAACTATATATTGTATGATAATTAGATAATACAGTATAATACTTTGAAAATATTTGATATAATAAATCTTGTTAGACAACAATACTAATAGTAATTCTTGTAGTATTGGTTAGGGTAGTATTTCATTATTAGTCAGTTTCCTAATCCTATTTGTGGTAGATGTTGTATGTTAGTTAGTTTTCATTCTCTATTCCTAGTTGTATTAGGAGTCTCTCCTATATATATACTTTATCATGTACTTCATAATTCAAGGAGCAATATTATTATTCCAATATTTCAACGGGAGAAAGACCAAAGTAGGACTAAAACATTGAAGATATACCAAAATAGGACTTCCATGTTTTTATTCCCGAAATAGGACTTACATTACCAAACATGGTCATATACATTGCCAAGAAAGTACAGTAATTTGCACATGTACACTGTCACATTACCACAATGCAAAGTCACATTACCACAATGCAAAGTCCTATTCCAGGAAAAAAACATGAAAGTCCTATTTTGGTACTTTTCTCTATGTTTTAGTCCTATTTAGAATGATTTCTATATTTCAACATGGTATCAGAGTCACCGCTCTTGGTGACCTAAAATAAAATATCTTTGCTCCCACCGTCGCCGCCGGTAATTTCGGCAACGGCGGCTCCACCCTATTCACCTCTATTTTCTTTTTCTTCTTTATCTTCAAATCAACTTCTCCATTCAAATGAAAAAAAAAGGAAAAAAAACCCTTGTTGAAATCACACAAAAAAAACTATCAAAGGAGGAACTTCTGTCTTGTCATCTCTATGGTTCTTCAAAAAAAACCCAACTTCTCACAAACTCTCTCAGATCATCCTATCTTCTCAAAAAAAAAGAGGAAAAAAATGATTGTTGTTTCTCTCCAATTCACCATATCAAAATCTCAGACCCAAATTTTTTTCCATCTCCAATTCTTAACCTACTTTTTCTCTCTAAAATCACTCATTCTAATCATCAACCTCTCTTCTCTTTCTCTTCTGTTGAACCAATAAAAATCCAAAGTAAATCATCACAAAAGCAAAGCCAAGAAGGGAAGTAGTGAAAGAGGAAATAAGACCTCTACAACTCACCCCTTCAAGAAGAAAATAGGGCATTGCCCGATCCAAGAAAAAGACAAAAAATGTCAACAATCTTCAATCAAACAGGCACCTCCAGTAGCCTTCTCTATTATTCTTCGACGTCAGCAGCTACAAGCGCACGTCAACCTTCTCTCTTCTTCATCGACGTCAGCAGCTACTAGCGCACGTCAATTTCTCTCTTCTCCAACGACGTTAGCAGCTTCCAGTGCACGTCAGACTTCTCTCTTCTCCAACGACCTCAGCAGCCACCGGCGCGCGTCAGACTTCTCTCTTCTCCAACGACGTCAGCAGCCATCGGAGCGCGTCATACTTCTCTCTTCTGCAACGACGTGAGCAGCCACCGGCGCATGTCAGACTTCTCTCTTCTCAAAGTTTCCAGTTTCCAGCTAGTGTCCAAGCTTCCTCTTGCTTCAGCCAGAGTTCAGTTTGAGGGGGGATGTTAGACAACAATACTAATAGTAATTCTTGTAGTATTGGTTAGGGTAGCATTTCATTATTAGTCAGTTTCCTAATCCTATTTGTGGTAGATGTTGTATGTTAGTTAGTTTTCATTCTCTATTCCTAGTTGTGTTAGGAGTCTCTCCTATATATATACTTTATCATGTACTTCATAATTCAAGGAGCAATATTATTATTCCAATATTTCAACAAATCTAATAAAATTATTTCTGTATCAATATCTATTATTTTAATTCAAGTTCAAGATTACCAATTTTGATCGAAAAAAATCAAAAATAAATAAATAGTCAGGGACGAAGTCCATATAATTAAGGTTGGTGGTGTGCCACCCCATCTCTTTACAGCCCTGAAATAAGCTTTGCCTTGCTTCTTTATCTCTATCTCATTTTAAGACGACCTCACATATAGTCATGTCAAACCCCATTTTTTTTCTTTCTTTGGGGATGAAGACATTCCGTCACATGCTCATAGGACTCACACATGGCATGATGCCATGCCGTGCTGTCATCTTTTATACACTACTCTCCCTCCCACTCATTTTATTTTTGTATTCCCTCTTGTCTCTTATTGCATGCCACAATCACGTACAATTACAGCTTCTCGATAATTTTTATTTGTTTGTATATTTTTAGAATTAATAATTTGATAAAATAAAATATTCTTGCCACGTTTTGTTTTATAGAGTTTTTTTGTACTTTTAAATGGTCTAATTTAAATTTTTATTTTCAATAATAATTTGTAATTAAAATAATTTTAAAAATAATAGGACTTTTCACGTTGTTTGGAGTGTGAATGATATACAATATGGGACAGAGAAAAAATGTTATTTAAAATTGGTCAAATTACTTGGGTAAAATTTCTTTGCCACTTAGAACTAATGATTTTAATTTGGACAGGAGGTCGACCCGGCGGAGAGCATGGGTCATGGATTTTTCCAGGTCGACCCTGTTTTTTTGGGTTTTTGAGGGGTTAGACGGGACTGGTTGTGTGTCTGGTTGCGGTTCGACTGGTCGAACTGCCCGATCCGATCCGGTCCGAGTTTAAAAACACTTCTTGGAACCACAAAATCTAATGGGGGAAGAAAGAGATAGGAGGAGTCTTCCCGGCCGGCACCCAAAAATTGTGGGTGGTCTAAGAGATGAATTGGGATGTGTGGACCGGACCCATTATATTCCATCTACTAATTGTCTTTCCAAAAGGGAAAAACAATGCCACACACATTCACGCGATATAGCTCATGTGGGCTACTATACGTGGATAATTACTAGAACACAAACACGTAAAACAACAACATAATAAACAATGAGTGAAATTTAAGAATATTTTAAAAATACCTCATCGGTCCTAAAAAGAGTCGCTTATTATTGTTTATGGAGCTTGAATGAACTTATTTTTTAAATTTACTTTATTTGAAAATTAGTAGGGAATTAAAAAAATAATATTTAAATATTTAAAGACTATAGTAAAAGTTCTACGAGATGACAAAATTGTATTATTTTCTCAAATGGGTCAAGAATGTGGTTAGAGTTTGACCATATGATTAGTAGACTTACGACTTAAATTGAGACGGAGCCACGGATGTGCACATTGTTTGAAAGTCTGATTATAATTTTGAGCTGGAGAGAGGATTTTAACTAAGTAAAATTTACACTAAATAGGACTAAAACATAATGACTTTCTCAATGTAGGATTTAAACTTTTTTATTCTCTAAATAAGACTTAATAATGACCTAGTGGGAGGAATAATGTCTAGTAATGATGGACATAATGACTATTTGATAATGACCAAAAGTCCTACATTGGAAATAAAAACATATGGTCCTATATTGGGAAAGTCATTATGTTTTAGTCTTATTTAGGTAAATTTCTCTTTAACTAAATGTACTTTTTTTGGATAATTTGTAGTCAAAATTATTTAAAAATGAAATTAAAACTACTCCGTATAATTCTAAGACCGGAGTAAATAAAAGAAAATATAGTGGATTTTATATGTGAAATTTGTTTAGTGACTCGTTATTTAATTGCACATGCCCAATTGACACGTAAAAAATGTATTTTAAAGTCCAACTTCAAAGTGGGAGAATGAAATGTGATGATTTTGTTGTGGGCCGAGAGCTTTGGACATTACAATGAATCTTGCAAATTAAAACAACTATTCTTTGATTTGGTTTGAACTGTATCCCGTTATACATATAAAAAAAAGTTGGGCCGATTACTAAATTTGCTTGGTGCTTCTTAATTGACCTTAGCATATGTAAATTACAAACTACCTACATCTAGCCCGGCCCAATTTTTGTGTTAGGGCCAATAACTTATACTATTCGAACAAAATTCCGTATATGAGGCCAAGACAAATTCTAGACCTAACCTCTATATAATTTTATGAACTTTAATTTATGAGAAATGCTAGATTCACAAACGAAATTGTAACAAAATTCACAAACTTACTATTTGTGAATTTCAATAAAAAAAATTAAATAATCTAAAATAATTTTAAAATAAAAATTTTAATCTATAAATAGTAAATTTGTGAATTTTGTGATGATTATGTTTATGAACCTAGCATTGCTCTTAATTTATTTGTAATATAAAAAAGTGATTATTTCACTAAAAAGACAATATTTACAAGCAAACACATGAAAAATATGAGAATATTCACATTTTAAATACAAAGATTGGAACTATGTAAGCATCATCATGAGCAATACCGAACCATATTGCCTCATGTCTGTAAATCCTATAATGTTTGTAAAGATATTGGTGTCAAAGATAGGGCCAACCTTAGGGGTTTTTTTCACAGTGGTACCTTAAATGTTGGACGTTCTAACAAAAAGTATCTCATCTTTCATTTGTAACAAAAAACATACTCATCTTTTAAAACTAAAACCAAAATAAGTTCCTTGATTGGAAATGTGATAATCCCGCGAATAGATATTGAGTTGGTATTCCTGTTGGCTTTTTTGATGTTGCAACATGTTATGTAGATACATTTCTAAGGTTTCTTCTTCGTAGTACGAGTACTTTTTAGTACGGAGTATAAAAGATTTTTGGGCAACATTTTTAATGTTCAATAAATAAAAAAGAAATATTTTTCCTTTAAGTTGACATATTATTGTGTAGTTAATGTTACATGACAATATAAAACTAATTTAAACTAAATTTAACAATTTTTAAAAAATTAAAATGAATTCATTGCAAACATGTTTTTTTTTTATTACTACTTTTCAAAAATATAGTTTAAAAATGAAAAGTACACTAAATATGAAATGGAAGGACTAATAGCGACGCTCATTCAATTCATTCATTCATGAGAAACCACCTCTGAAATTCAGACCCGAGAAATCAACCGAATCAAGAGGCTGCGGCGGTCAAATTGAGAAAAAAGGGAAACCCGGTAGCCGGAAGCCATTGTTGTCCCTGAATGAAGCTCCCAGCAGTGAATTGAGTCGCCTCGGTCAAGTTTAGGATCCTGTACCCGGGCCAACTCACTCTGGCGCTCGTGTTCGACCCGGCTCCCCTGTTCTTGTACTCCCCGTAGTACAAGGTCCCCAGCGCAAAACTCCCGTTCCACTCCAACCACCCCGCCGGATCGATCAATCCTTCGATGTTCGAAAGCATGAAAACCGTCCTGGAATACTCCTTCCACGGCCGGCCGAGGTAGTTCTTGAAAGACGACTGGACCGGGACCAGGTCGGCGGCGGCGGCGATCTTGGAATTGAGGACGGAAATGCCGGTGTTCTGGTTCGGGTCGTCTCGGCCTTGGGAGGTGAAGATGTTTTTCTGGTTGGCGAGGGGCTTCCGGGCGTAGAGGTTGCAGTTCTGGAAAACGGCGGCGGCGTTGCCGAAGATGAAGTCCACCGTGCCGTAGATGTCGCAGTCTCGGAAGAACTGGCGGAGGGAGTGGACGTAGAGGGTGTCTTGGTAGGCCACGAAGCTGCAGTTGAAGAACGCCGACAGGTCAGAGCCGCTCCGCACCGCCACCGCCTGGTGCTTCTCCGGCCCGGCGTAGTTCTCGAAGGTTATGCCTTTTGCTAGGAATCCGTTCCCCACCGCCGCTGCAATTTCGTTATAATCTTTTACTCATTAGATTTTTTTTAGTTACAATAAAAAAAACATAAGGCACATAATTTTCTCAATTCATTTTTTGCTTGTGATATAAAATTATGGAGTAAATTCCATAAAAGATTATCACTTATGGTATAATTCATTTTACATATTCTATTTATTAAATATCAATAATTTAGTCCTCAATTATTATATTGTTTTCCATTAATAATTTTTTCTTAATATTTCTATTAAGAACGTACATAAAAATGAAAATTCACTCATCAATCTCTAGTCTCTTCAATTACACTTTTCACTTGTCAAAATAAACGGGGTGCTAGTCTGTATGTTTTATCACTTGTTTTATAAAACTTTGGTGCATTTTTAATGTATAAATTATTTTTAGAATCAATATCAATACTTACTCCCTACTTACATTAAATAAAAAATGATTTCACTCAAATATCAACGAAAACAATCTAAAGATGTTTCAACTTTCAAATGGAGGTATGCACATGATGCAAAGGTACAATCTTAAATGGCACGTCTACGAGGCTTGGGCCGCTTGCCTTTATGGTTGACTATTGCTCCATTAATATTGGCCCATACAATAGCGCGTCTCTTCCTCAGTTTTATTTATTGTCAATTTTTTTTTATATATTCAGTAAAAGTATAAAACTAATTTCATCAAAATATGTTTAAAATAAAAAACAAATATCATTGACATAAATGAGTAAAAATTCATAAAAAATCATTTTTTTAAGAAAATAAACAACGCAAGACGAACAAAAAGAGTAATAAGTTATGCGATTGACAAAGTATTTCTTAAAAAGAAAAAAACAGAAATAATTGAAAGACATTAGTGCACGTACTGCCCAACATGTCACGTGCTTTCTTAACTCCGTTTAAACAATATTTGGTGGAAAGGATAGGGCCTAGGGGNCCCCCCCCCCCCCCCAAACCAAAAAATATCATTTAATTTATGTTAGAATATACTCCCTCCGTCCCAAAAAGAATGGGACGGTTTGACTTTTTGGGAAATTAAGGGAATGATATTTTGGTATTGACTTTCCAAAAATACCCTTGATGTGATGGGTAAAAGTAGGATGTGATGGGTAGATTATTAAAAAAAAAGTATGATGTGATAGGTAGGGTATGAAAAAGTAATAGGTAAAAATGGTTTTTTAATAGAAATGTAACGGACTTTACGGGACGCAGATTTTCCAAACGTAACAAACTTTTTGGGACGGAGGGAGTAATAAACATTTTCAGGCCACAAATACAAATTTGAACTTTTAGTTGAGTTGGTTCTTTGACATGATATTAAAGACTTCTTTGATTAATAGGTCACGTGTTCGAAATTCAACGCCACTTAATTTTAAAAAATTAAGGTTTCACGTACAAGACTCGAAAAAGACTACGCCAGCACGTGAGGAGGCGTGTTAGAATATAAAAAACATTTTCTGAGTCGCACCACAAGTTTGAGTTTTTGGTTAATTGGTCCTTGACAATTTATACATTATATTGCAGGGTAGGGAGGGGGTGAGAGGGGTTTTGGAGTGAGGGGTAGGGGTGGGCGGTATATGGGAGGATTGAAGGGAGGTAGGAACTGGCCTAAGTAATTGACACCAATAGTACAGATGTCATTTTAGACTTATTCATTTATAAAATACGGAGTAAGAACTACTCCTTATATATGTTTAAAAGTTTGGCCTAGTACATTCATATTCATGTACTCCGTACTTTGTAATACTCCCTCCGTCTGGAAATATTCTTCTCATTTGACTTTTCACGGTCTCCAATATTGTGCTTTGACCATAAATATCTATATTTATATATAGATATATTTTTTAGAAATTTGATATTTGAAAACTACGTTTCATTATCAATATATTGATATTAAATTTTTATCATAATACAATGTGTTTTTTCACAAATCGTAATCAAAGTTTACAAACTTTGACCAAGAAAAGTCAAATGTGAGGAACATATCCGGACGGAGGGAGTACTCCGTAGTTTAAAAAGGTTATCTTAAACATTGATTTCTACGAAAAATAATGTTTCCACTCAAATCTACTTTGGAGGAGTAAGGGATACATTGGCATGCAATGTGCTGCCGTACGTTTGTGAATTGGCACTTACCTACATAGTACTCTTGTATCGTTTCTATTTTTAAAATATTGTCACACTTTACACTTTGACTTTTTAATTAGATTATGATATTCTCTGACCACGAATCACTTATAGTTTAAAATAATTAAATATTATAAAAATTTGATATTTTAAAAATTTATTTTAAATAAACCTAAATATACTAAATTTACATTATTACAAATATATTTCATTTTGAAAATACGGAGTAAAAAAATTGAGCGAGAGAGAGCTTGGTAAATTGTGCAATTGAAGTAAAAGCAAATTACCGACGGTGGCGGAACGGAAAGTAGTCCATCCGTCGACGACGCTCCGGTTGCCTTTGATGAGAGTCTTTCCGATCCCATCTCCGACCAACATTATATTCGTCTTCTTCTTCTCCACCTCCACATTCTCGAAGTACGCCCCCGCCTTTATGTATATCACGAACCTCGTCGCGCTCGAATTCGGGGCGGCGCCGAGCGCCTCCCCCACCGTCGTGAAGTTCCCGCTTCCGTCCTTGGCCACCACCAAGTCCACCGCGCTCCTGTTCACCGCCGGCGCCTGGAGCAGCGCCCTGTCCCGCCGTTTCAACCACGCCGGGAACCCTCCCCTGACCCGCCCGTACTCCGGGAACGCTTCTTTATTCTTCTTCTTCTTCTTCTTGATCTTCTTGAGCATGGCGAGGGAGTTGCTGACGTGGCGGGAGATCTCCCGAAGCTTCTTCTCGATGAAGCGGCGGACGTTCCTCTTGCTGAAGGCGAAGCCGTCGAGGCAGGTGGCCTGGTTGGTCATGGCGGCGCTGAACAGGGTCTGTAAGTCGGTGTAGTGCTTGGCGGGCGAAGCGGCGTCGTTTTTGGTCAGATCGGAGAGGGCTTTTTTCAGCTCGTCCTGCGTCACCGACAGCAACTCCACGCAGTCGTCCAACGCCCGTTTCTCAAGCATTCCCAACTCTGGCATCTACACATCCAAATTATCCACCAAAAAATTAAAAAAAAATATTCTCTTAACGATAATTTTTTAAAATTAAGAAAACGACCAAAATTGTAAATTTTGTAATTAATTTGCATAAAAAAATAGATTGTTCTTTTATATCCAGGATGATAAAAATATTGAAAATTATATTTTGATATCGGTACGATTCAAGTCACATCGAATTATATAGGGCAGCAGTGTCTCCCGGTGACACCCGATATAACTAAAACACTTATGGTGCTATCTTTACAAAATTGATAGTTCCTACGTCTCCTTCTTTTCTATGCCGTTTGACAACAATATATTTACTGTTGTCCCTCGGAAATACTTACGCCAAACAGCGTGAAAAGTTATTATTAAGAGGTAAGAAGAATCAATTTGAGTTGCGAATCAAGCACCATAAATATCTCAAAAAGATCAGAGTGTCAGCGTACAAAGATAGTGTCGTTGCAAGACAAATGAAACTTCCTCCGTCGCGAAATATTTTTAACTTTTACGTCTTGGTTGTCCCATGAAACATTTTAATTCCAGCTAAGTAGACACAATTGCCTCAATTTTCTTGAACATAAGCGAACATATCTCAGCTACCTTTTACGTCTTATACTCTTATATAAATAAAGGTGCGTACGTACCTTTTTGATGAGGCGGGAGCAATTGGAGGAGGAGGCGCGGACTTCGGAGACGGTGACATTGACGGTGGCGGAGATGATTTGGGCGATGGTCCGGCGGGGGAGGTCGGGCGGCGGCAGGGATTTGGTGAGGGTGGAGACACAGAGGTCGGGGTACAGTGTGTCTTCGCATGCTTCTTGTAACGGTGTCGTCTCCGCCGACAACAACGACAATGGGAATTGCTGAAGTAATAAGACAAGGAAAAGAACAAAGTGACCAATGATTTGGAAGAGGCTTGCCGCTCCTGTGGGGCTTTGCATCTTCTTCTTCTTCTTTTTTTTTTTAAGATTCTTTTGTCGATCAATTGGCAATTGCCATTAATACAATGCACTCTTCGGAGTGAGGAGGAACCACTCCTTTTATAGATCCACTTCGATTTTTTTTTTACTCCGTACATTTTTTTTTAAGGATTTTAACATTTCTCCCTACAAAAACATTAAATACTCACCAATTTTCACAGATAATAATAAATGTTCCTGCTACACACACACACACAAAAACACGCACAATGTATGTATGTACGTATAACGTATGTATGCATAATGATGACTCTAACCCCTTGTTTGGATGTAGGTTTTTAAGACAAAAAAATTAGGATAGAAAAGTTGGGAGGAAAAGATAAAATTATTTTCCTTTCTCTTAAACTTTCCTCCATTTTGTGAGGAAAAGTAATGAAGGATAATGAATTTCTTCCCTTATTTTTTTCTTTATCCATATTCCCTTATTTGACTTCTGGCAGATTTATTTTTCGTAGTTTAACTTTTTAATTATGTTTTAAACATCCTAAAAAGAGAAAATTCATTTAAATGACTTAAAATATAAGTGCAAAATAATGAATGAAATGTATTGCAATAATTTAATTTGAATATATTAGTCATGTTTTATCAAAGTGAAATTGTTTTATTGCAAACAAAAAAACAAAAGCAGAATTGTTTTGAAAAACCGAGGGAATACATAATATCCAGCTCTTTATTTTTTTTAGTGAAATTTGCACTAAATAAGACTAAAACATAATGACTTTCCTAATGTAGGACTTAAACTTTTTTATTCCCTAAATATGACTTATTAATGACCTAGTTAATTGAAGGAATAATGTCCAGCAATGATAGACATTACTTGAATAATGACTAAAGAATAATGACCAAAGGTCCTACATTGGGAAATAAAAACATATGGTCCTATATTGGGAAAGTCATTATGTTTTAGTCCTATTTAGGTAAATTTCTCTTTTTATTATCGGGAACCCTTTTTTTTCATCTTGTATTTTCTTTGGATCCTTATTTTCAATCTTGTAAGCAGACGGTAAAAAAAAGATTATTCTCCCTCACCCCCACCAACACGGCAATACGTACTACTCCGTATTGATGATGCATGGGTCCACGCGCTTGTTTTCAACTTGTTTTTCTTTTCAACCGGCCCTCTTATCTCTTCGAATTTAATTTGTTTCGCCTTTATTTTTGTAATGGAGTCTATAAATATTAGGAGTATAGATTATTAATTACATTTCATATTCTCTCCGTTCCTTGTTGTCTTGCTACTCTAATTCTTCTTTTATTATGATTAAAATTCTCGTTTGTAATCTCTATATATAGAGACGATGTATCCTTCATTATTCAATAAGATCACATATTCTTAAATTGGATTAGGATGCGTATGACATTGCTTTTGAATTTTTTCATATTCGAAAATTGGAGAAATTTTTAAAGAGCTAGTAAGGTTTTATATTATATATTACGGTGTATATGTATACACACAGTAATAGTCTGGGTTACATATTTATTTATTAGTGTGATTAATTTGATCAAAGCTAGTCTCTAAAAGAAAAAAATATCTCTACACCATGTTTAGAGAAAAAAATTCGGAGTAGATTTTTTTGTTTAATAAGAACATATCTCTACACCATGTTTAGAAAGTAAAATTATTGAAAGAGTGCCTACAAATTACGTTTGCGTATTTGTATTTTTATTATATTCGTCCCTGAATATTTGTTTAATTTTGAATTTTTTCAGTTAATTAATTTCAATATTTGACTAATAATTAAATCTAATAAAATTATTTTATATCAATATCTAATATCACTTCTATTTAACATAAAGTCAAAATTTAAATAATTTTGACAAAAAAATCAAATATGGATAAATATTCAGAGTTTAATGAGAGTTTTAAACACTACTACGTACTATATGTGAAAGGGTTTGAAATTTGTCCATACAAAATTCATAAAAAGTAATGGTGGATATATATGAGTTTAATGAGAGACTGAATTACGGTTAAAAATATTACTTTTTACACGTTTTGTGTTAAAATTTTACGGAATACTACGTAGTTCTTAATTCGACATTGAATATGAAATAAATTTGAATATAAAATCATTTTAACCAAACATCCTAACTAGTTACGAGTATGAGATTACGAGGGAGAGATATTATGGTATGGACGCTGCATGCGATTGGTTTATTTTTCCTTCTAAACGGTGACCGTCGTTAATTAACGTTCATGTTATAACCTTCTAGAAATCAAGACGGCGGGGCAGCAACCGAGGCGGCAGCGCCACCGCCAGAGGCGGCAAATTCGAGAATGCTCTGAGCCAGCGCCACATGGGACGCAAGAAGGTCGCGGCGGTTGATGGCGTCGGTGGCATGGACATCCGCCTTCGTGTCCCTCTTATGGGTCCCGAGCCTGGCGAGGCTCTTCTGGCAGGCGGCGAGATCGAGAGTCGAAGCTTTCAGAAACTTCATGGCATCGGGGTACGCTTTTCCCGCCAAGGAGTCGACGGCCTCCTCGATCAAATCCACGGCCGGGACGTAGTGGTCCTTGCACTCGGCCAGCCCCTGTTGGGCGGCGGGGGACAGGTCCTCCGCGGTGCCGGCGGAGAGTTTTGCCGCCACCGCCTCCTTCTCGATCTTCTTGAGCGAGAAGAATGCGATGCTGTCGGGATCGGACCGGTCGATGCCCGACAGTTCGGCGTCGTCCTCGTTGTCCTGCAGCCAGGCCACGCAGGCGGTCCCGCCTTTGGCGTACTCGCACGCCCGTGAAATGAGGGCGGGGTCCACCTGCGCGGTGGCGGCGGTGAGGCGGAGGAGGAGGGCGAAGGCGAGGGAGAATATGGGAAGCGGGAGACGGGATAACAACCTGGGTACCGCCATTTTTTTTTTTGGATCTTATTAGTTCTTCTTGGTTTTAGAAATAGGTGGAAATGGAATGAATGAGTTGATGAGGGTAAAAAGAAAAATTAAAATAACCGAAGGAATTGCGGTAAATTTAAATGCAAATGGGAGGCCAGGAATAAAGTTGTGTCCCAACCCTCCGGTTGGGAGAAATGTGTGGGTCGCTAAGAATGGTTGTCAAAACACTCTTGTCCCAAATATAGTTTTTACGCTCTTTATTCCAGATGTTCAAATTTGTTTAATAGGGAGTAATTTATTTCTTATATTGAATTCTCACAACAATCATTTCTATTTTTTTAAATTAGTCCTTAATAAGCAATAACTATCAATATGGTCTTTTGTAATTGAGATGTATTCCCTAAATAATCATCGCCCAAAAATAGCTATTAAATGCTAGTCAAATAGAGGATATTTTGGTATTTTCTATCATAGAGACTTAAAATATGTCCTCGAATTGCTCCTTTATAATTAATTATTTTTTCAAACTAATAATTTCTAAGTAAATGTTTTCCCAAAATGGAGTCCAAGAGCCAACTCAGGGTGGTCCGTTCTTCGAGCAGCTACCAACTTAATTTGGAAAGATCAATTTGAAGACTTATTCATAGTTTAGATGATGAGAAGTACAAAAGTACTCTCCATTTAACTACCATTTAATAAGAATTTTGACATATGACTATTTAGGGAATACATCTCAATTATAAAGAGTCATTTTGATAATTATTGCTTGTTAAAGACTAATTTAATAAAATATTTTATTAGAAAGGTCCATTTTGGTAATTTACTCTATTTATTATCCTAATTTCCAAGGCACTGAGAAAATCATCTCAAGTCACAATATCTCACTCATTTGAATTTCCTTGATGTTTTCCAAAATAAATCAAAATATAAAGAAAGAGCCGTATTCCTATTTATTTTATGTTGTACTCCCTCGTCCCAAAATGTTCAATAGTGAATTTCTTTTGGTGAAAAAAGAAAAATGTGTGATTAAAATTTATTTTGAATCAAAAGAAATTATAAGACTGACATGTTCATTTCTTAACAGAAAAGTAGAAGTGTTAACTTCAATTTAAATCATCCGAAAATAGAAATGGAGTCATTTATGCACAATATATGCCGCCATACACGAGAAATATTGTAAAACCTTTTCTAGGACTACATTTTCATAGAGAAAAATACAATAACATACCAAATGAGGGTCCTATATATCCCTCGTACCAAAGATGAAAACTATATTTTTCTAGGGATTGGAACATGTATTATCGTTACATTGTACTCCGTAATAGAGTTAATAGTACTAAAAAACGAGATCGTGTGTAGTGATCTTTATTCAAAAAAAAGGAAAGAAGAAAGATTGTTACCGTGTCCGTCCCAAGCAGTTTAGAGGAACTTCTGAATGAAATCATGTATGTGTGCACTTACATCTTCTGGTTTCTCCTCGTTGCAAAAATGAGCCACCCCTTCCAGTATAACCACTTCCTGCAGAAATGGAACATCCCTATGGAACCCACCATTGTGTATATAATCCTTCACGCCAGGGGTGTTATAGGTCACGTCAAGATCTCCAACTACGAACTTAACTGGAACCTTGATCTGAGCACCTGTCCATGGTGCCATCAGCTCCCAATTCCTGCATCCATCAAGTAAAAACAAGATCATAATATTGTAACTCCATTGGGGTGTTGGGGGCAAGATGTACGTGCCCTTACCCCTGGAAAAAAAACTGAGAGATGATGCATTGATGCATGTTTTACCCAAAACTTCATCAAAAGTAAGAGGCCATGGAAGTTTAATGTGCCATTTTGATTTATTTTTTCTATCATTTACTCGAAGCTAGAACATGTTAAGGGAGGGGTAGAATTTAAAAATAAGCAGATGAGACAAACCCATATATAAGAGATTGTTCAGTTCAGATTCTAAATGTACTTTTAAGGACTCGGACATTTGAGACATCATCAAAGAAGAAGAAGAAGAAGAAGAAGTATCTATATGAGTTGTCAAAACCAGATATGTATGAACTACACATATTGAATTAGTTTAATGTTTTAATCATAATCGAAACAAATACCAAGTACTCCCTCCCAAAATAAGCTTCACATTTTTTTGTCCGTCCTAAAATAAACTTCAAACTTTCTTTATTTCCTTTTATAGAAAGGAATGTGTGGATCACATCATTTGACTTTCTTCTATACAAATTCTGATCATACATTTTTCTTAAAACACCTAAAGTCAAAACATGAAGCTTATTTTGGGACGGAGGGAGTATTTATTTCTGATTAAAGGAAACCAACAATGGTTACATTCAACATCAAATATTCAAATATATTCAAGTTCAACTCACAAATCTAAAGCTCTGTAGTAGTTCAGTCCACCAGTGAAACCACTCCGGTCGAACTTGCTCACATAATAGTCCACATCTTCTTGTGAAAACCACGGAGGCAAGTTTATGGGTTTATCAGCTGAGCCTCCAAACCCAACACCTTTAGGCACTCGAAGCAGACCAGGATTCCGAATGGTTAGAAATTTCTTAATGATTCTGCTAGTCCCGGCGCGAGCAAATTCTGCTTCTGCTTCCCCAGGTTCCTACAGATGCAGAGTAATGAATAAACAAACAATGGAAATGGGGGTATCATTAGGCTCTAACATAGGAGACTGAAATCATATCAGCAATTGATCTCTGGAAATTAAAATTTGACTTCTAAATTTCAAACAGTTTAAACCACATCATAAAAAATTGATAGTAATTGCAGAGACTAAAACCTAAATTTCAATGCTTGAACTATTAATCTAGGATCCGAATTCAAAGGAAGAAAATCAATGATAGATGGATTGAACTTAATCAGAAGTACCTGAAACCTGCAGATATAGTAATCCTCACCAAAGAGAGCGCGCATAGATTCGATCGGCTGCCGCTTAGGGTTCCTCGGATTGAAAGCAACGCTGAAATTGACAAGTGCCTTAATTCTATCGGGACGGAGCAAGCAGAAGTTCCACGCCATGACGGCACCCCAGTCATGGCCGACGAGGAAGACCTTGTCGAGGCCGAGCGAGTCGAGGAGGGCGACGAGATCGCCGACGATGTGGAGGGCGGTGTAGCTGGAAGGAGATGGCGGCGCGTCAGTGTCTCCGTAGCCGCGTAGGTCGGGGGCGATGGCGCGGAAGCCCTTGGCGGAGAGGGCGAGCATCTGGTGGCGCCACGTATACCAGAGCTCCGGGAAGCCGTGGAGGAATAGGATAGCCGGACCTTGACCTATCTCGGCTACGTGCATATTGATTCCATTGACGGAAATCTGATTGTGCTGTATTTTCTCCATTTCTCCTCTTAGCTCTGCAACTCTGTGGACTCTCAAGTCTCGACGATTCCTTACTGTGCTAACCGTTTCAGTGAAACTCACTATGTTCCCTTTCCCGATAATCAATGTTATATGGTTATGGGTGAGCTTAGTGAGACTCAAGTTTGGTGACGCTAGGACTGCTACTGTGGTTTAAGAGTACTTTTGCACGGTTCCTACCCTAAAACTCACTCCCTTAACTTCCCACCCAACCCTGCCTGCCTCTTGCAATCCCACTCCAACCCCGCCATAAGCCTCCCACAAAATTGTGACTATTAGTACACTTATATCAGTATCTTTTTCACGTCCAACTCAATTTTTGGTCATCAATGATAAAAAAAACTTTCCGTTCATTTTTCATAATGGTATAAAATAATTCTTGAATATATAAGTTGTAATTTTTATTTTTATAATTTTCGTATTTTTTATTTCACAAACAAAGTCATTTACTCGCTATGAGCGAATTTGCACCATATTCGACAAAGCAAAAAACTTATTATTTTTTGATTTTGAGGTATGATGAAATAAATTAAATTTGTTCTTTAAACGATTTGAGTTTCTTTTAATAGTGCAATAACACTTGGTGAATGCAACTTTCACTGCTCATCGAGAAACATTCGCTTTATGTCTTAAACATAAGGATCAGAACGTGATTAACTACGGTGCTTTAGCCGTCGATCTCTTTGGAAACAATCTCTTCACTTTCCAGTAGAGATGAAGTCTACACACCCCTCTCCAACCGGATTGTTGTTGATGTTGTACTTTAAATGATTAATGCATACATATACTATAAGAGACCAAATCGTATTATATTGTACATGGCAATGTTTACACTTTACATTCATCATACTATTTCTGTACGGAGTATATACTATGTTTGGTTGCCATAAACCATTAACTATAAGCATTGGAACAATGTCTTATATGATGGCAGAGACTTTAAGCGAAGACAAGACCACAAAGACAAGCCAGAGGAACACAAAATACACAGAGGTAACCCATGCCCACAATCTGGGACCGCCAAGCTCGGCACCCAAAGTCACTCGCCTGAAAACCAACACACCGATGCACCCAACCGAGGTGGCAAAAAAGATGAGCAAAGAGAAGCTCAACCCCTTTGCGTTTTGTATCCGCAATGGCTCCTTGAACGCGACAAAGTTGTACAGCGTGTCTATCAGCCATGGAACCCCAATGCCTATATAGATGTTCACCGAATTGCTGCAAAACCAAATGAGCACACCAAATATTATTACATCAGGCCGAAACAAGAGGAGAAGATAAACTAATGTATAAGCAAGTGCTCGCCTAGCTCCAATAGTATGAGACGTTTTGAGAGGTACCCAAAAATAAATCGAGGGATTGATTATCCAAAAGATATGTCCCTAGATAGGAGTAAAATGTCTTCAAAATACCAAAATAGGAATGCGTTGTTTTTATTCTCTAAATAGGAGTTGGCAGTGTAAATAATGGCAGTGTGACGATCATATAGCAGTATAAATAGTAGAAGTTGATGGTGGACCACCGGTCAACGGTGGTCGGCGAAGCTCCAGAGACCACGACGGTGCTCAGGTGGAATGTGGCGGTTCTCTGCAGTGTGAGTGTGCAATGTGAACTCGTATTTAGGCAATAAAAAATACTACAATTTTGGTATTTTCATCATCTTTTACATCTATTTAGGGACTTCTTCCTGGATCCAAAGCAGTCAATGTCATACTAATGCAGAGTTGGGTCAGGTACTAGGACAAAGGAAGTGCTTAACCTGCAAGTGATGTTAGCGATGGCCGAATCGGCGGTAAGCTGGCGTTCTGCAGCAATCTTGCTCGCGACTAGATCAGGCCACGAAGTCCCAGCTGCCAATGCTGTGAATGCAATGACAAAAGGACTTATTCCTGCACTCAAACACACACCACACCTGATGTCTGAGACATGCTTTGTTTAGAATGAGGGAACAAGTTTGAACACTGAAAATAGTTTTCTTTAAATAAAAAAACCTGTAACACAGGATATTAGGTCTGTGAGCTGTGTGACGCCGTAAGCTATCCCACTGATGAAGATCAAAGAGCATATGAAGGCAGGCCAGCCATTGGCAATCTGATAGGGAGGTACAAATGCAAAGAGAAGCCTCCATGGTGCTACAAGTAATTTCCAGAAAATACGTGTGGTCCGAATGCATGTGCCATCAAGTTTTCTGGATTTGGCGTCTTCCAACTGCTCCATATTTGAAAGACATATGTGTACCAATTGAAAATGTAAATGATCAAGAGCAAGAAAACTTAAATACTTGGGGTTCAAGTTTGTGTTTTCATAGAACTTTGGTGCACAATGGGTTAATAGAGAAGATGAAGAACGGTACAATGAGTGCGTTAACAAATTGTTGCTTCCATATTGAGAATATATCAGCTTCTTTGACAGTTGTTTTGTTGAGGTAGTGGTCTGCAAATGATTCGACAACATCTGCACCAGGCAAGATTTGATAAACATGACCTGAAAAAAATGTTTCAGTCTAAAATGAAATGTCTTGGTTTGAGAAATCAGCTTTCCCAAGCCCAAAATGGATGCAAATATCAACAATTTCCCTACTTTCTTCATCGCCGTCACATTGTGTTTCAAGGCATTCTCCGCGAACGGTAAGTCCATGTGTGGCATCCTCTGCAGGAACCCACTCCTCGGGCCTCTCTGATCTTTTCCTGATATGCAATACCAATGACAAAAGCCCAATAAGGTCCCACAAGTGTAGGTGTACGCAAACCTTACCCCTGCGCTAAGAGTTAATTGAGTTTTTAAAAAAGTCGGTACTAAAACCAAAACATACAGTGGGAGGGACAAATATGGCCAACGCTTGTCTTGCGCATACGCGTGTACAAGCAACAGCCCAAACTGGAGAACCGTCAACAAAGACTCCCGCAATGTGACCACATTTGGAGTCCATACCTGCAAAAAGTAGCAGAAGGTGTACAAAATTGAAACAATTTTTCAAAGAAAAAATTGTGTGTTCATTGACCTCTAGAATGATGTAGAGCCAAATGTAAGCCCAGAAAGACCAAAAAAGTTCCACAATCCAAACCCCGAGATCTGATATCTTTTTCAATTCGCCGGCTTTAGGAACCACAACACAAACCGCGTGTATAGGAAACAGATCAAATGCTGCAGAACCAACAAGTGTTCCAGGGCCCAAACCTGTTATTATTGAAAGAATTTGTATATTCAGATGATGAATAATATGCAGAACCTGCATTATATGTATAGGAGATGATGGTTCAGGCTAGACTAATCCTGTGGCTATAGAAAATATTCAAAAAATGGTTGTGGGGGCGGGTACCTCCAGCATGTAATTTTCCAAGATTTTGTATTGCATCTATAGTAGCTAAAGAAATCTGGGGAAAGCTAGTCCCAAAGGCCAGCAGCGTGATGTCAGCAATTGTGTAATTCCAGACCTTCTCCTTCTTGACAACTCGGGTGTTTGTACGAGGATCGGTCTCCACCACTGTACGGCTGTGCTTCACAACAGTTTCCATGGACCGAAAAAACCGAGAGGTGATGGCCGACAAGCCAACGAAACAATAGAAAAGAGCCACGAAATAGAGGAAGGCACGCAGACCGTTGTCAAGCGCAATTTCGCCATGGAAAAGCCAATGAGTTCCACATTTCTCAGCCATATGAAGTTGCTGGAATTTCACCTGCACCTCTTATGATGCATTTTGTGTTGTAATTCTATTTCCAAGATTTCATTTTTTGTTTATGGATTGAAAATGCTATTAGCAGAGACAAAATGAAAAACAATTTGACTAAATTTGTGTTACAGACCAAACGGAAGAACTCAACCCAAAAGACTAGTCTGATAGGTGAGGGAACCCATTTGGCCTATAAACCCCACATCAATTGCCCATACAACCGATGTGGGACAAGTCCCATACCTTGCAATGGTTTCAGTCCATAACATTGGTCCCTCCTTAAGGACCAACGTCCTCGTTGGTCACGGCCACGTTGGTCACGGCCGGCTCTCTCCAGGCCACCACTCCGTGGGCCACCACTCCGAGGTTGGCTCTGATACCACTGTTACAGACCAAACGGAAGAACTCAACCCAAAAGACTAGTCTGATAGGTGAGGAAACCCATTTGGCCTATAAACCCCTCATCAATTGCCCATACAACCGATGTGGGACAAATCCCATACCTTGCAATGGTTTCAGTCATAACAACTTGACATTCTCTAATTAATTAAAATGCATAATATAGAAACTCTTATTACCAGTGGCTAATGCTTGTTCTTGATTCCAACAATGTATGATCTTGGAAAACCGGACGTCCGAACCGAAGGAGGACTGAAAACTAGGTAATAAACAAATTAAAGTTTGAAAAAGGAAAAACTTTAAACAATGAAGGAGATGAGAAGGGAAGAACAAGCAGAGTTTGACCTTACGGCGGAGCTGAGAGAGTCTCGCGGCGGAGGTGACACCGGACGGCAGGCCTCACAGACATATATATACGCCATCAGTGAATTGCTTGCTTTACTATTCAATTGATTTGATATTCCACCTGAATTCTTTACATTAAAACTTCAAATAGCAAAACTGGGTATGAATCCAACGGTTCAGATCCAGCAAAAATTTACCCAGGCGTGTAGTTTGACTTTAGGGCGATCTCTTTCTGGTTAAATGTACGGAGTATCTCTCAGTGATTGCTGAGGGGGACACCAAAAAGGAAGGAAGATGGCGACTTGCCTAAAGTATGAACGCCATCTCTTATCGTCTACTTAATTTTCAAAAAAAAATCTTGCCAAGGAGATTCTACTTTTGCATATCAATTTACGATCACACATGAGGCTCATCCTCTTTTTCTAAAGTAGACCAACTTTGGGGTCTTCTCCCAATATATGCATAAAATAAAAAATGCATTCTCATTGTGTATCTCAGTCTGACATATCTGGTTTTTCGGGCAAGACGGAACTAATAGTTCCGTTTTGCAGGCTGACCTGACCATTGGCATTGTAATTAAATATGGATAAAGTATAAGATGTTTTGTATAAACATTACTTCCTCTTACCTAAAATGTTATGCACTTTGCGAAAATAAAATGCAAGTTCAAAAGGATCATTTTTCATTTTTCTATATTTGCAACACTTTTCATAACCTTATAAGAAAGACAAAATGAAGACCATGGTCATCTTGAAGACCATAATTTTTAAAAAATGCTAGGGGAGTCCCAAGCATTCGACAGCCAATGATAGGATTGCCAATTTACCAGTAGTCGTTGCAATTGCACGCACCACCTGCAAAATGGTGAAACCTATTGCAGTCTCTAACGCTAATCTCCCGACCATAAACCAAAGAAATCATCTTCACCGCGGCGTGGCAATCACGGCACATCCTCATGTTATTCACCACCCGAATTGGAACCCCCGGGCGCGTCTTCATGATCGCAAACGCCACCGCCAGTTTCTCGCTGTGACGAGAAACCGCCAGCTCCTTCCCCTCCTCCTCCACCATGTCCACTGTCACCTCCTCCGTGTTGCTCGCGTACCCCTCCATTCTTATCCGGCTCAACATCTCATCCAGCATCATGTGTATCTCCATCCTGTCTGGCCGAGACTTGTCTCCTACGTGGAACTCGTGCACGGTCCCGTCCACTTCCACCAAGCTGCACCCGGGGACCTTCTTTATCCCCTTCGTCTCCATCTGAGCCCGGACCCGCCTCGCGTCCTTCCACCTCCCCATCTTGGCGTACGCGTTTGCGAGGAGGACGTGGGCCCCGGTGTTATTGGGTTCCAGCTCGAGGATCTTGCCGAGCAACGCCTCGCATGTCTTTATGTCCCCGGACGTCCTGGCCCCGCTCAGGAGGGACCCTCAGACCAGGACGTCCGGTTGCATTGGCATTGACTCGACGAGACCCCAGGCCTCGTCGATCAGTCCTGCTCTTGCGTAGAGGTCGACCATGCAACCGTAGTGTTGAAGCGAGGGAGAAATATGGTAACGGTTTTGCATCTTTTCAAAGATGGACTTTCCTAGTGCGACCGCGCCAGAGTGGACACAAGCGGAGAGAGCACTTATGAATGTGACTCCGTTAGGGCTCACGCCGGAGCCGACCATCTTTGAGAATAAATCAAGACATTCTTCCTTGTGCCCATTCATGGCCAAGCCAGAGATCATGGCACTCCATGCTTTCACATCTTTATTCGGACCCAGATTTTCGAACACGAATTTCGCCCTTTCAATGCACCCACATTTCGCGTACATGTCGATCAATGAGGTTCCTAAGATGTTACCAATCGGCATTCCGCGTTTCTCAATGTAGCAATGAGCCCACTTGCCATGTTCAAGGGCGCCAAGCTTTCCACAAGCAGAGAGCAAGACAGACATGGTGAACTCATTGGGAATCATAAGCTCCTCCGTTTTTTGCATCTTCCGGAACAAGAGCAATGCGTTCATATACTGGCCCGATCTCACGTACCCTTCCATCATACAACTCCAGGACACCGTGTTTCTGCTAGGCATACTGTCGAACGCCTTCCGTGCAGCTATGACCATCCCGGCTTTCACGTACCCGTTGAGCAACGAATTCCATGAGGCGGAGTCTGGTTGGGGAATTTCGTCGAACACCTGCCGGGCAAGGTGGAATGAGCCGCAGGAAGAGTACATATTGACCAGCGATGTCTGTACGAACACGTTGTCCGACAGTCCGAGTTGGATGATCAGCGAGTGAACTGACCGGCCGCAGGAGAGGTATTCCGGCGAGGTGAAGGATTGAAGGAGAAAAGGGAAGGTGTGGGTATCTGGTCGGACGGCATGGTAACGCATGCGGAGGAAGACGGAGAGGGGAGTGAAGGGAGAATCGGATGGATGATGGACATGGGCACGAATTAGAGTATTCCAGACGAAGGATTCAAGAGTTGGATATGAGAGATTGAGAGTCGGGTGGCTTGCAGATATCAGATTCCTGCTACTTGTTTGCATTCCCTGTTTTTCTTGCGGGTGCGGCGGGAGGTCGCTGTCCGGTGAACGGCGCCGCCGGCGACCCGCACAGTCTTTAATCGCACGAACCCCCGGAGATATTGGGCCTGCTCATGGAGCTAAAGCTTATGAGCCTTATGTTATGATTTCCCTAAGTTAAAAAGGATGTATTGGGCCTGGGCATGGATCCATAAGTGATGGGCCGAGAGCCTCCTAAATGACCGCTTCCCCGGCAGGCCAGGGGAACGGGGGAGCTAAAAATGGAAGCAGACGTCGCCGGCGAGTTCCCGTGCTCTTCCATAGCCGTCGAATCCGTCCTTCGAATCGGTACAGTAAGTGCTTCTTCTTAATTTTATCGCTAAAATTTCCTCAACGTTTCGATTATTGTATCTATACACACACAAATCAAAACAGATCGCATTCAATCTCCGCAGGCTGGCTTGATCTGGGGCGGCTTGACCGCCCACTGTGACGCCGGAAGACAAGGTCGTTTCAATTTCACGGCACCGATTACTGTAATACTATTCAATGTTAATTCATTTCGTCATTTCGTTTCAATTAATTCTGTTCAAATTTCCACAGGCATCGCTACTCTTGCTCGGGTGCCGTTCATAGTATGTTCTTTTCTTCTGTTTCATATGTAAATTACTTGAAGTCTTGAACACTTATTTCTTCAGCATGTATCTAAGTAAAAGAAAGGGTATCATTCAATTGTTCATTTGATTTATTCAACTTGCACAGCCTGGTTTGAGACTTTGAGCATCTCTTTTTTCTTCTCTATGCTTATTTTTTACTATACAAGATCACAAACTAATTAATGTGCTTAATATTTCTTGTCTCTTTTCGTATGCAGGCTAGATCAGTTGGTCGTTTTGGCTTTCAATGGGGTAAGGAAAATAACATTTCTGATATTCTGCATTTAACTCGGCAAGTACTGAATTTCATTGTTGTGCACTAGTGTTGAGTGAGACAAGTTTTGGTATTTTGGTTTGATGATCAAGACATATGGGGAGATTGAGGCTAGCTTCAGGTGCCCTTTGCGACAAGAAGATAACCCTTAACATGGAAGGGAAGTTTTATCGAACCGACTATGTTATACGAAGCAGAGTGTTGGGTTTTAGAGAAAAAACCTGTTCATGAGCTTCAAGTGACAAAGATGTGGATGCAGAGGTGAATATGTGCTCATACAAGGATGAATATAATCTTAAACGAGGTTATCCGGAGTAGGGTAGGAGTGGTAGCTATGGAGAATAAGCTGCAAAAAGTTAGACTAAGATGGTTTGGGGACGTTAGAAGGAAGAGTCTAGAGGATTACAATAGAGGGCGTGAGAATGGGTAGTGGTAGATTTAGAAAGCGTTAAAAAGAGGTAATTACGCAAGACTTACCACTTCTAGACAAGACTTACTACTACATGATTTGTTCGAGGATATGACCTTAGATAGGAATGCTTGAAGATCTAGTATTATAATAGTTGGATGGACTCGTGAGCCTTAATTTGTAGTTTATGCTGATTTATTTTTATGCTTTAGTAGGTGGAGCTTGTGTGTTTTCTGTTTCTTGTCTACTTATTAGAGTTGGTTTCTATGCATCTTTTCTATATATTCGTACTCCGTTCGTGCTATGATGACTTTCTTGTTCGTTTCTTCTGTTTTTGAACCGAGGGTCTCTTGAAAACAACCTTTCTACTACCTAGTAGAGGTAGTAGGATATGCGTACACGCACCTTCCCCAAATTCTACTTTTTGTGGGGTAAAGTAGGAGTTGTACCTGTTGTTGTAATGAGTGTCTTGAGTTTATGGTAATTGTGTTTGCTGAATTTCACTATGGTTTCAATCTTTCATAGTTTCATCTAGTTTTGGAGTTCGCCATAGTTAGCATTGCAACAATAACGCCTAAATCTTTCCAGGGCTCTTTGCTGCAATCTTCTCCTTCACTCATTGCGGTATCCAAAGATATCTGAGGAGAGCGGATTTGGTTGGTTTCTTGATATACATATTTCTCATACTACACAGCACTATATCTTTATAAAGCAGTATATCCCTAGTTCTAGTTTGAATTCACTTCTAGAACCCAATGTTTCCAAAACATGATTTCCTCCATCCCTGCCCCTATAGATACAGTACATGTTTAAACTTCTGCCTTTTGGTTGTTGTGACTAATTGGGTGTCTTTATAAGTTCATGAATGAGAATGAGAAGGTGTATACATTAATGTTTGGGTGTGCAGTTTAATGTGGTGGCAGCAAGTGCTGTGGCAGGGACAGTTCTGTGTGGGCCCCGACAATGGAACCAGGTTGCTGGAATCACTGCCCTTCTTTGTCTTCTTAACAGCCAGGGTCGAGAGAAGTAACGTGAAACACATTACTTTAATGGTGTGTTTGGAAACTTGAATTTGGATTTCAAATCCAGATTTGATCCGAATTACTTGTTTGGGAACTCAAAGAATTTGGATTTGGATTTCGACCAAATTCTTCTACTTCGTAATTCAAAAGTTTGTTTTGGGACGGATGTAGTACTGCTATACCCCCTCTTTGGTCCATTCATGGAACTAGTGAATAGCTTCATGGTAGTAATTGCCCCTGCTAAAAAATGCAGACATTGTACCTGTTATGGTAATTAATAGGGCAGCCATTATCACTGCCTTCTTTTTTGGAGCGCTTGCTCTATTCGCAAAATGAATATTTCTTACCCCAGATACCCAGAATCGCCCATCCCAATCCATGCCCTACCCCTCTCCAAATGTGTGGTCATTAAGCAATTGCATTATGACCCTGGGGTATGGGCAGGGCAGGGGATTTTGCGAATGAAACACTTTAAGTGATACAGAACCACCCTGAATTAATAGATGCAGCATTGTGCATTTGTACATACATATGGCCACGGGTAACTCGTGATCACAATTCATTGCTATAATATACTATTGTGAAAATATGTTTTATAAAGAGTTGTTTTTTTTTTTGTAATCCGAAAATATCTTCCCCATCTCTTTGATGAAGTATAGTCGGACATGAGGCTCTCTGGGACTTATCCAGTCCACCAACTCTTGGATTGAAGTAGATTGGGAGTAGTGTTGAGTGACTAGATAATAAGTTATATATGATGTATTGTAGAATTTTTGATATAGTTTTTAAATATAGAAATTTAATTTTTTAATTTTACATCTATAATCAAATAAATTAAATTCTTAATAAAATCAGTCAAATGTCATAAACAGAAACGTGAAGAACGTATTAGGACAGAGAGAGTAGCCTCCGTCCCGTTTTTTATTACAATTTTCTTCTCTCTTCTTGATAACTTTTGTTTATTTGTATATTTTTATTGATTATTTGATGAAATAAAATATTTTTGTCACCTCGTGTTTTGTATTCGGGTAGAACTTTTTATGTGATTTTTTAATATGTAATTTTTATTTTTTATTGATATCTTAGTTTGTAAATAAAATAATTTTTAAAAATATGAAATTTTATCTCGTAAATCTTAATTTGTAATTAAATTTGAAACTGAGAGAGTATATGCAAGAGTATGGAGTACTGAGTATAATATTTTTAGGAGAGAAAAGTGTATCAACTATCAAAGACTAATGATGGACCAAAGACCAAACGAATAATAATAGCCACATTTTTTATTGTTTAGAAAGAAAAATCTACAAATAAATAAATAAATAAGGAATGCTTAATTTCTAGATCTTCTCATAAAAAATTTTAGGCTTGAAAGCTAATGTGGAAAAAGGAATGTTTCACCTATGCAAATGTGCCTAATCATAATTTTAATCTTAATCCTAATTCTATTCTTAATCATTTGCCCACTTATATAAAAAAGTACGGAGTATTTCATTCTCCTAAATATATTATTATCATTATAGCCTGACTTAAGAAAAAGACTAGATTAAGAATAAAACATTGAAAATGTGCTAAAATAAGGGTTTCATATTTTATTCTTGAAATAGAAGTTAAAATTTAAATACAGTGTCAATTACGAGAAAATACATTACTAAAAGATATTGTGAAGTGTCCATATAGAGTGCCACCTTACTATATCATACTTCCTCCGTCCCACTATATTCGTCCACTTTTGACTTT